TGATTCTCTATAGTCACCAAGAGGCTTTCTTGACTCAAGGGAATCTATTTAATATGTTATAAGAAATAGAATCTAAGCTGGTCCATAGCATAATTTTTCTCCAAAGCTATGAACAATGTAAGCAATCGCTGAGAAAGGTATGCAGAACAATATGACAGAAAACATATTTTTCACTGTAGAAACTTTGGTTAGCTCAGATACAAAATTTTGCACAGATTTCGTTACTAGAATGCATGTTCCTATAAAATAGTACAGTAATCACCATACTTTAGTAAGTACAATAGATTGCTATTGGCTTTTATTTTAAGCAGACTGTTTTAGGGAGAATAAATAATCGTAGTTTGGCTTTCTCCTGGAGATCATGAATTTAAGTTATGAATAATGTACAGAAATATATTCTGTTGATTTAGAGATATTTACTTTCAAGAAAGAAGATGTGAAAGCAATTGATCCCCCTATCTTCAGCTTTGTAACCTAATTTAACTCTCAAAGCAGATTCTAGAACTGGTTTCTGTGATCTTAGAGAAGGGGGAAAATGCTATTCTCCCTGATTTACTACAGAATACCATAATTTTGGAAGGATTAAAGCTACTAAATAAATTAGGATTCAGTTGGACATGGTTCAGAGGTCTGTCTACTTGTGGCAAATGCAAGCATATCTGATAAAAAAGGTTGATGAATTGCCTAAGCAGAATGTTTCCGCTGATAATGCCTGCTAGATGCCTCTGAATGGATACTTGACACACAAGAAGAGTGCGTTTCATAATGACTGAAATATTTCCATTATTAGAAACGTTCTATGGACTGAGTTTTTGTAAATGAGTAACTGGAGATGCCATCTGGAGAAATTAAATTTTTCATGTTACGTATGCTATACATACTGACAAATTCACATATATACTGAGGATTAGACATTAGACAAAGTCATACAAGATTTTTTATCAAACATTTCTTTTGCTATAGGATTTTTTGGATTAAAACAAGGAATGTGCTAAGATTAAATCACATTTTAGTTACTTAGGCTGTATTTTGTATACCTCATTGTTTAACTTTGCCACTACTCATCATTTTGCCACTACTCATAACATTAGAAACGAAAAACTGCAGGAATTTGATGCATCTTTTGTCAAGAGCATTACTCATTTGCAGAAGATTCAGTGCACCGATTTCATAGAGGCTTCAGAGCTGAGATTTAATTTACAGTGCATCTTTATGTTTTAGCATAACGGAGCTCATATTTCTTCAACACATCTTGTACTGTGTTATACATCTCTCAGGTGGGTTTTATTACTTTTTAAAAATACATTCAAATTAATATATGCTATCCCTACTTACTTCTTGCTTTTAACTGAAAAGCAGTTATAGATTCATCCTTCACAGCAGGGATCTGTGGACCCTAGATGTGCTTAGCTGAAAATAAGGAAATCAACCCTGGAGGCAAGCACTGTTTTATCCCAATTCCATATTATATCCAAACTGTAAGATAAATACCATATAGTCTAAAGGAAACTTACTACAAGGATTTGTTGTTAGAAGACTAGTTATTTATATGAGTTCTATAAATTTGTCAGGATATAAAGTGACAATGCTTTGATCAAAACTAAGTCAGCTACATAAACCATATTATTTTCCCCAACCTGAATAAAGAAAATATTCCCTGCAGGAATCAAATCTACAAGTCTACAACTTATATTTTATTAATTTCTGGACTTTATTAAATGTATATATTTTAACTGTATTGTAAACTGCTGGAACACAGTTGGCAACAGTTCCTGGCAAGGGTGCCCAAAGTGCTGCCTATGAACAACACGTGGACCACCAGTATCCCTTTTTCAGACTCTGTACCAGAATGAGGGAAGCCCAAAGTGTCAGCTTTTGTATGGGTTCCTTTGGGGAAGGTGGGGAGCAGTTGATTTCTGGTGGGAATCCGGGAAAGATTAAGGCACCAAATGGATGTGATAAACCTTCCACGTGCTTAAGGATTTCACTCCTTAAACTCTCCCACCCTTTGAAACAGTGGGTCTGGGCACCACTCGCCTTTGCACACCCTGGGATTAAGGGATCAAAATATCTGTCCCCTAAGAACTTCTTTTCAAATGACTAGCAATGCATGTACTGCAATCTTTACTTTTTAATGGAATGGTGTTCACTTTTTCAAGGCTTTAGTTCTAAGCTTTCCATTGTT